CAGCCAGATAAGGTCTGTGACTGTAAATCCTCCCTTGAAAGACTTTGCTGGATGTGAATGAGCAGAATTTATAGTAAATTAATAAAAGGGATTGTTGTCAGGACCAGAAGTTTGCTTTATGCTCTTGGGAAGCCTTGGTCAGAACAGTATCCTTGAATGTCTTTATAATGCATGAACTCAGTGATGAGTTGGGCATATGCAGCACAAGGAGACAGTCAAATAATTTTTAAAATTCTTTCTCTCTCTTCACCAGCTTGCTGAACTCCGGCATAGCCCACCCGCTCTCAGAGGCTGCCGCCATCACTAACCAAACCAATGCCACTGCGTCAGTGCTCACAAACCCTGGATATTTTTTGGAGACCCTCTCCCAATTTGTCAACAAAGTCCTCAACCCCTCTGGTGAGCCTCCCGTTGCCCAGGGGCACCTCCTGCTGGATTTCGACACAATGGAGGCCCTTCCTCACGAACTGCTCAACTTGTCAGAGAAAGTGGCTTTTGAGCGGCTGGTGCAGTCTGAAAATCACCTCGTGGTCCTTTTCCCCGAGAACAGCCAAGCTTTCATGGAGCGCCAGCTCGGCCAGTGGTACCTCGAGGGAAAGTTGCTTCGGCAACTGTTGGAGAAGCTGCATTCTGTGATCCAAGAGCTGAAAGCCATGCCGTCCTTCCAAGCCAACGCCGACCTCTTCCGTACTCTGCTAGCTCTGTGCTACTATCCTTCGAGGGACTCCGGAAAGTTTCCCACGAGCGATTCTACAGAGACGGAGGAAACACAAACCCGCAGAAAAATCCACAGCCTTCTGCTGCTCAAGGCTCTCCAGGTGGTGCGCACTCGTTGGCAAGAGGCCAGGAAGGTGTCCTTACGTGCTAACCGTAGCACTCAAGTCCAGGATGACTACTGCCGGCTGCGAGAGCTCAGGATAAACCTGGTCTCCACCAGATACATCATTTTACCGGAGTCATACAATGCCAACAACTGCGTGGGGCCCTGCCAGAGCCCGCTCTCCACCCGCATCCCGGACTACTATTCCCACACCATTTTCCTGCTGCGTATGCACGAACAGGGCATGCCGCTCCAGCGAGCTCCTTGCTGCGTCCCGGTGAAATATTCCAAAAGCCTCATGGTTACCTTTACCAGTGATCAAGGGATGATAGTTAAGGCCTATCCAGATATGGTGGCGGAGTCCTGTGGGTGCAGGTAGAGAAAGGCAGGTGAGTCCTCCTCATCAGGAGGATGGGATATTGGACAGTGCCCTGCTGTCCTGGCCAGTATGGGGTACCATTTTAAACCACAGCACTGCAGTAATCCCTGTTCTACCGATGAAATTTATGTCGCTGTGTACATAGCAAGCTTGCGACGTTGTTCTTGCTTTTTATGATGGTAGGGAAAGTTGGACTCCTCCAGTTTATTTACAGAGAATCCTAATGAACAAAGTGTAGGATGAGAATTGTCACTCCCCCATTCAGAATCATTTAGAGTAGCAGAGTTGGACGGGACCTTGGTGGTCTTCTAGTCCAACCCCCTGCTCAGGCAGGAAACCCTAAACCACTTCAGACAAATGGCCATCCAACGTCTTCTTAAAGACTTCCAGTGTTGGCGCA